TCCGACCGGTTCCTTCAATCTCACCCATGTCGATTGGTCTGCAACCATTCTGCTAAAGATACTCTCACCAGATTGACCTTCTGTGCAAATGATCTTAATGACCCGCTACTTATGCAGCATCGTTTTTGTTGCCAGCCGTCAGCAACTGACACCTCGCTCGGAATCGCGCTCTCGGTATCACAGCGCTAGTCTGTTCTGTATCAAGGCACTACTATCTGAGGCTGCCACTCTGGGACGCTTACATGTGATGTCGTTGAAGGTGGGGATAAGTACTTAAAGCCTACGCATCTTCCCCACGAGTCGAGACCCCCCACAACACTGCGAACATCTCCTGTCCGCAGACCCATAAGCATGGCCATATCCAACGATATGTCTCTGTTATATAAGGCCAGTGCGGATTCACCCCCGTCTTCAATACCTGCCCATGAAGCGACGGGCTTGAGGTGCACCACAGAGTCGCTGTCCGGACCCGCATTTTATCAGATAGGGTCCACGATGCGCACTCGACCACTGGTTTCTGTGCAGTACCTGAAGGCACATCTGTGCTTACTTGGTGCATTCAAGTCTCTAAGAACCTCCGTCGAGAATGCTGGAGATGACCAACTTCTTATATTGGCGCTGGGACTGGATAAGTCACAACGGTGGTCATGGTTTGTTGGCCTTGCGGTAGACCGGCAAGTCGAGCGAGAGACTTTGTTGAAGTGAAGCTAATAGTCTCAGTTGTCGTTGTATAGCTTCCATCGCTGGGTAGAAAGTGTCGAATACGGACCCTTGAGATCATGGGTCGACACAGAACTCCCGCCCCTGGACGTCTTGATGATATGGCACGCGTACATGCTCAATCCTCGGTATGTATTCTTGAACCCCCCAATTGACAGGATTCGTGCTCAAGGGATATGGCCAGATGGTATGCAGAAGACTGCGAGCGTTTGTCGCTATTGAACAATCTGAGGAGACTCGGGGATAGGTTAATTCCTGCGGTGGTAAATTGGAATAACATACGGTTCATGCATGCCTGCTCATCTGAGTATTTGTACAGATCGAGATAGGTGATCCGTCAACATATCAACCAGGCGCGGATCGTGTTAGGGTCTGGCTGGCCAAAATCGGCACGCCGTGGGACGCTCTGGAGGCCGCTCGACACATGTCCCATCGTCAGATTAGTTGCCCTCGATGTTCGGTGTCGGTGAACACACGTGAGTCATCTTTTGTGTCCGCGACCGCCAAGCTGCCAATACTGAGTGTGTGTGCCATACAGCATATCTCACGTCCGAAGGAACTGGATATGCTCAACATAATTTCGGGGTGAACTGTTCGGAGTGCGGGTTGTTTATCACGAAGGAGGGCCTGGGTCTGGCGAAGTTTGCGGGAGACCTGGTTTCCGATTATGAAGTGCCGCATTCCGGATATGGTGCATATCTCGCGTAAGGTCACCCATCGATCCTCATATATGTATGTTACTCATGATCACGATACAGTGGAACACTCCACACGGAATCCAAGATCACTGACGAAGATCATGCTCGACGAATTAAGGATGCTATCATCAGAACCAGAGAGTTTGAGTCAGGAGTCAAGGTAGTATCAATCATTCGCCATCGTGTTCCGGCCTAACAGCCCTTCAGCAAGTCGAACGCGAACAATGGAAGCGCGAGATACTAGAGAGGTTCAAGTACTCTACACAAGACGTCCCTTCCGCGGCATGCCAGCAGATGCTGGACGTTGGGGGGATGCGTACGTTAGTTTAAGACCTCACCAAGCTGCGAAAGAACGATCAATGAGCGATTCGCAGGGTCAAACGAATCATGGCCGCATACACTGACGACAGGCCATTCTCCGTGGAGCTCGTCGGCGCTGTGAGTGTGTCTCCCAACACAGATGCCTTTCAACCTGACTGTTTTTTTGAGGTTATCCGACAATGTTCGTTCATAGACAAGATGCACAACTTCGGCTGGACGGCTCCTAGCTTCCTTAACAATCAACAGGATGAGGTTGTCTTGGTTAATGCTGTCGCTAGATACCATGCGTAAGGTCCTTCCCATACCGTCGCTTGACACGTTAATGGATTCTCGCGTAGTTTCCTAGATCTAATGGCAATATCTCCGGCCCTCCTCCTCGTCCCCACACTCGACATTGATTTGGCATGGCACTCCCATCAGCTTACAGCGAGTAAATATGCGCAAGACTGTCGCGACACAGTGGGTCGATA